ATATCATTTTCCAGGATGCTTTCAAGAGATTATGTCCACAATCTTCCTAATCTGATCTAACTTAATCTAATCTAATCTAATTTAATCTAATCTAATCTAATAAAATCTAATACAAACGCAGCCAGGACGAGAAAGTATCCTGGAAAATGATTAGGTTAGATGAGGTCTAATAATTTTTCTTGTCTAATTGATGTTTACAGCATATCTGAGATATGATATAAACATCAATACGGCCAGGCCTACTGCGTTGTATTTGCCGCAAAGATGATTCTTGGAAATGAATGGGAACATTTCTTGAATCTACAGGAGTGGAAGGATTAATAAAATAATGCAATGGAAGGATCTTACCGAATTTTCTCCTTTGTTAGTAATGATTCTTTTGCGCTTAAAAATTTCGTTGAATGCATCCGCTCCTTGTTTATCGGGCTTTGGTTGCAGACCCTCGTAATTGCTCGTGGTTATGTTCAGTCCGTCGCGTCCAGACCAGATCCTTAGTCATAATCTTGACCGCATCCATCTGATTTTCTTTGGCCAGCTTTTTGATGTCGTCGATGATCTTCTTTTCCTGCTGTTCCATTTTCATCTTCTCCCGATCCAAATCCCGCATCGCTTTATTAAGAGCTCGCTGGTTCTTGTGCATAATCTCGTCCGGAGACATTTTCTTACCGAACAGCCACTCCATTTTGCTGGTTGTTTTCCGGATCAAATAGTGGTAAAACTGATTGAATAACTTCGGTGGTCTCACAAGCTAATCTTGCACAAAATTGGATATTAATTTGTTTTTTGAATCTGACTCTACTTGGAATCGGAATACCGGTCATAAATGCACTTGGAAAAAACCTTCTTTCGGCCATAAAAAGAAAAACTTTTCTTCAAAAAACTTATCGATGTTCAAAACTGGCAAATCATCTTCAGATAAAATTTGGAAAACCGCGACGAAAACATAATATAAAAGGTGATACGGTCAAAATTTGGTCAACATCAACTTGACGTATTTCTTTCAATTTTGCATTTAAAAAGTAGAAGGGTTTGTGCCTAGGGGCACGAACGGAAGCTTGACGTAGGACCGCTAGTGGACGGAATAAATGTGAAGAGCATTAAGTTCTTTTAATTGATCAAATATCTATTATCTCAACTCTTTCCATTTTTGAATTGTAGGCGTACCAAATTTGTAGTGATCTTTTTCAAAAAAAAAGTTGATTACGAGAATCAATCAAAATCACTTGCACCCCTGCTTCCAAGTTTGTGTGGTCGTTGGGGGCTTGCGGTTCTGAATATGGACAAACAAGCACAGATAAATTCTATTCCAACTCTTTACTGATGTAAGCTTGATGGCCCTGAAAAGGGCCGTTTTATTGAAGAGGACATCCATTGCCACTTACGCTTGGCGTGTTTAGTGTAGGTGACAGCATCACGGACCTCATTTTCCACGAACACCTTCAGCACACCTCGTAGATCAGACCGGAGATACGTCAGACACTGCCACGGCGAGCCAGACGATGGATGGTGGTTATCACGAAGAATTTGCGATGACGCTTGGCACCTCCTTTGCCACGACCAGTCAAGTGTTGCTTGTTGGTTATAGAAAAGTGGACTAGCCACCTTCCTACTGCTGCTATTGCTGACCACGCCGTCCGAAGCGAAAATGAGCTGATACCAGACAGCAGCGCTGCTTTATATCTTTTTAAGTTAAAGCAGAATGATGTGCAACCAAGTGGTATAAAAGCTACAAAGACTCCTCCCATTATGAGTAGTTTGCTATCAAGTAGCGACATTGGCTATTTGCTTTTTGCGTACACGGCGAATGAGAACAACCTAAATTTGAGATTAGTTCACTCATAATCGCCAAAAGTGTAGGAGCTCAGCGATGAGTAAATTTGTCTCATGGTTTCCTGTGGAAAACCTAAAAGATCTGCCAGAAAATGAGGAAATTGACGAAAATTTTACTCAGTCTCGGAGTAGTACCAATAGACTGAGTGAATCCAATCTTTACTTTTCTCAAATTCGGGAATTTTTCCCTGGAAAATCCTGGAAAAACCTGGGAAAACATGAGGCAAATTTACTCATCGCTGAGTTCCTGCACTTTATTTCTTATTTCTGAGATAACTAAACTCAAATTTGGGTCGTTCTCATTCGCCGTGATAGATATCAGCGCCGGTGGTTAGCGTGATTACCTCTCACCCCAGCAGGCCTGGGTCCAATCTCAGTCAGCGCCACCGGCATGTTCTAAGGCATAACATCTCTGGGAGCTGCCTCAATAGGTTTCAATAGGTCCTATCTACATTGATCGATTCTCTTCATCGACACTCTCTTCCGTAAATAACTCGGCTTCACAAATCTGGATCAACAAAAGAAAAGAGCCCATCAGCATTTGTAAACAAACCGTTCCAAAGCCCTTTACTCACAAAGCGAAGGCCACCCACACAAACCAACACCATCATTGGATAGGGGAAAACTTCTACCTACAAGATGTTGGTGTTGGTTTGTGTGAGCGGCCTTCGATTTGTGAGGCTTTGGAACGGTTTGTTTACAAATGCTGATGGGCCCTATTCTATTGTTGATCCAGAAATGTTTCCTGCCGTCTTCGTCGAATTAGATGCTAGATTGTTGCTTCTTCCATCGAAAATATCCGGCCGTGGCGATTCAAAGTTGATCAAGGTTGATCAAAATAATTTGTATCCCTGCTTCCAGTTTGATTACATGAGCATTTTGTGTGGTCAGTGGTTCTGAATATGGACAAGCAGGCAGATGAATTCTATTCCTACTCTTTACTGTAAAAAGCTTGGTGGCCCTGAAAAGAGCCGTTTTGTTTCCAATGTTGGTGATGATTTAACCTCCGAAACCAAACAGAGTGCGTGACAGCATCACAGATCTCATTTTTCAGGAACACCTTCAGCACACCTCGTAAATCAGACCGGAGATACGTCAGACACCGCCACGGCGAGCCAAACGACGGATGGTGGTTATCTCGAAGAATTTGCGTAAGGTTCTGAATATGGCGATGAGTGTGCAAAATATTACGCAATTCCATCCTCCCTATTCGCACGCGCCCGAGGATCAAAGGCGAATGCCACTTCGACTTGTTTCGTCTACTTACTACTCTCTGACGACTGTGCTGGGGAAGCAGCATATGCATGTAGGTAATTGGTGGATTTGTTAGTTAATTCGACGCTTTTGGACAATGCTGGACATTTACCAGTTTTTCAATAGTTTCTTGTTGAAAATCAACATTCGGAAGCATTATTATCAATGCGTAGCTATATTTCTGATCGATTGGTGATAAAATTATTGAAATTGGACCAGGGGCAGCTGAGTTATAAACGTTCAAAATCTTTCTTAATTTGTTACATGTTCCATTTTCGGTTTTCACAAAGTGTACCCCCATATAGAAATCAAAGACGTAGTCCTACGTCAAAAACCTGAACACCCCTCATTTTGAAGGTGTGTGTGTGTGGAATGTTGCTCCTATTTTGATTTTGGAATTCACTTTTCAGTTGTCAAAATGCCGTCCAAGCAAGAAGAGCAGCGTATCAAAATTTTGCTCGCGCATTGCGAAAATCCGAGCTACTCGCACGCAAAGTTGGCAAAATCGCTAAAAGTTGCCAAATCAACCGTTACAAATGTAATTAAAGTGTTTGGGGAACGTTTGTCGACAGCCAATAAGTCTGGATCGGGGGGAAATCGAAAACCGGAAGCCGCTGAGACGACAAAGAGAGTTGCCGGTAGTTTCAAGCGAAACCCTAACCTCTCTCTCCGAGATGCCGCAAATAAGCTGGGTGTATCGTCTACAACCGTGCATCGAGCCAAAAAACGAGCCATGGAGTGGTACGCCGCCAACAACGTGCAGGTGGTTCCCAAGGACAAGAACCCTCCCAACATGCCAGAGCTCCGCCCAATTGAGAAATACTGGGCTATTGTCAAGCGGAACATAAAGAAGACCAAAAAAACTGCTTAGGGCGAGCAGCAGTTCAAGGCAAACTGGCTTTCTGCGGCGAAGAAGGTGGACAAGGTGGCTGTTCAAAATCTGATGGCAGGGGTCAAGCGTAAGGCCCGGCAATTCGGATTTGGAAAAGCGGAAGCCTAACTGAATATTTTTCCTGAATTTTATACTAATTGAACTTGAAAAAGAAATTTAATTTGATTTTTTATATAAACGATTTCACCGATTTACACGCGTTTTCCCTTGACCAAATTTTGACCGTATCACCCTTTACGAGCAATTTTCATTATATCCACAATCTTCCGAACATTAATAGATTTGCGCTGAAGTACTTAGAACTTTTTCAGCGCTCTCTTAGCTCTGAACTTGTCTCTTGACGTTCTTGTGAGGCTCCTGACATTTTCTTGATGATACTGGAGCTATCATGAGGCTCTCTGATCTTCATATAAGTTCACAACATGATCTTGAAATTCATGGATCTGCATTGATGTTTTCGCAATTGACGCTTAAGGATCTACAAACTTTTCCAAAGTTCTGGACTTTGCTGTAGCTCTTGGAACATCATTATGAAGGCTTTGTAGAGGCTTGACCCCTTAAGCACAATTGTTTTTCCAAATTACCCACCCATGGGCCCATAGTCAAGGCTCACTCGTTTGCATCCACTGTTCGGATCCAAAATCCATGCTCACGGAAGCACTCGTTCCTTTTCGCATGCTGCAGATCTCGTGAAACACCCAAAAATCCACCAGCTGAGCAGAGCAGTTGACGCGTCAAAACAGATGCATCATCATCATTACTCCCCCGCCATCCCCCCCTGTTGCCGCACTAGTGAGATATCACTGCCACAGCTCCGAAAACAATCACAACTCGTACCGGAGTTTCCCACGCCACCACCCCCGTTCAGTCAACTGATTTGAGAGTGAGTTCCCCCGTTCGCGTGCCGCAACAGTCTTTCGTTCCGGCACTCAGCAGGTCAACCCGAGGAAATGGCATAAACAGCATCGCACTCCGGCTAGACCACTTCAGTCTCGTAGCGAGTGGCAATCGTTTCGGTGTAGAATACAGTGCTGTGCAGCTGTCGAGCGACGGTCGATCGAACGGTGTGTTTGTCCTCTCTCGTTGGGAAAAGGAGGCGAAGGCAGTTTGTGCCCAGGATAATAAAAAACGGTTTTCCGGGAATAAGTCAAGGCGCGTTGAGTTGAGCGTGCGATGTGTATGTGATTTATGCGTGGCGAGAGAGTAATGAAATGCGTGGATAGTTATCGTGCGGGGTTGCAGCGCTGTAGGCCTATCGACGCGGTGGTCTCCTAATTATGAATACGTCTCACTGGACCCTGTCAACAGTGCCATAAACTGCGCTCTTTTTTGGCGGTTGTTGTTGGTGATTTAGTGCAGAGATAAGTTTTTTTTTTGTCGAGGATTACGCGAGGTGAAGAGTGTAGAGAAGGAGGCGAATTGGGAGTGAGAATACCCAAAGGACTACGGGGCAGTGCGGCGCGTTGAAGTGAACTGTGCGGCACGTGCTTTTTATAACGTGGAAATCAGGTGCTGAGGCATTAGCATTACAAAGGAGGAGCAGTTTGGCTACTCGTGCGAAGGATGTTATACAAATTCGACATTTCACAGGCCATTTAAGCTGTGAGTGGTGGGTGGGTGTGATTTCAGTGCAGGGTCGTGAAAAATCGTGAATGATTATCACATGATAGTGGTGGTCAGTGGTCAGCATTATCCCACGAGTTGAACATGTCGGAATAAATTTATGGATTAATTCCGACAGAGACGACATTTTAATTAAGGCTGAGTTGGACTCGGTACAGGTCGGTTTCGGAACGACCCACAAGGGACTAATTCTCGGTGTATCATCTACCCTCCGGAAAGCAGAGCATCGAAAGGGCACCAACAAGACGGAAAAATTGAAGGAAAGCCGCTCATTTTTCTTCCTCAACGTCGACGTCGTCTCCAACGACGACGTAGACGTGCAGCTTAAGTGAGTGGAAAAACGCTTTGGGTCAGGGAGATTGCTGGCATCCTTGGTGGAGCCACAGAGTAAAAAAAAAATAGAACCTGACTGAGTGAAGCTGATAATTGAGTTTTGCTCTCGCGTAGACCGGAAATTTGTGAACACAGCAATTTAGACGAAATATTTGCACTGCCCTACTCGAATGCAAACACAGCGCAGCGTTTTCACACACCCACGCTCCATCGAGGGAGGTGCAAAAAAAAATCCCAGTGATAGTGAAGTGAGAAAACCGATTTTCCCCCACGGAAGAGAAATCAATTACCAAATATTTTTTGAAAACCGATTTCCCATCAAAACTTCTCCCTCTACAACTACGAAAATAAACCATACCGAGTAAGTGTGAGGCAAAGCAAATAAACATCACCTAGCTGAAGAGAGCGAATCGAATACATGTGAAAAAATAAAGTGAAACCGGGGGTAAAAAGTGCACCGGAAATTGGTTCTAGTAATTGAATTTGTCTGTTGCTAGAAGGGAAAAAAAATCCAGCGGACATGTTCCCAAGCGATTGTGTTGAAAGTTGAGCCAGATTTCAAATATAGATGTTTTTCCGGGTGGCAAGTATAGCAGTCATAGTGCGTGATTTAGTGCGACTCACCCAGACAGCATTCCGACTAAATCGACTGGAAAAATACCTGAAAGATTTATAGCTGGATAACGAAATCCCCCACCAACCAGCCGGCCTGCAGTGGGGTGGAAAAATTTTTCACTGCGTCCCACCGAAGGGTATCACAATTGGAAAAAAGCGCCAGCTTCAATTACCCCGCAGAAGCCAGATGCGGTGCCGCAATCTGGCTCTCAAATCCTAGGTGTGCGGGATCCAAGAAATGCTGCTGCTGCTTCTGCTGTTGGAGTGGTCGGAATCAGTGCTCCCACCCCGGTACCGGGTATAACAACAAAACTGGAATAATAATTAAATTTCGTCTGTTTTTCTGTGTTGCGGAGATTCCGGTGCAGAGCAGCTCATATGTGTGGTATCATCATCTCGAGCAGCAGCAGTAGTGGAACATCCGGACTAGCAGCAGTACTAGCACCGGCAACAAGAACAAGGTACCGTATCTAATTTCCTGTATTTTCCGCTTGCATGCAGGCAGGCATCCTGGTGTTCACAGCATTTCTCCGGAGAGCTTTTCTTTCCGAATAGGAAGAGGAACGAGCTGCGGTCACTGGTTAAGGAAGGGTTCTTTCGACAATTTTCGGGTGCTGCTCGAGACCGGGTGGCATTTCTGGTTTTCGGGTTTAAAGTGAAAATGAATCGAGGGCGGGTCAGATTGCCATACTAAACACCTGCTTGACTGGGGATACACTTCAGCCAGAGAGGAGGGAGAGATATATTCATTCCTGGGAAGGCCCAAGGCTAGACGGTTGGGATTTCTGGAGGTTTTTTGTGGGTAAATATTAATCTGCTTGAATTAATTCAACGAGACTTTATGCACACAGAGTTTGGATTACCGAAGTCGCACCCAGAGGTTTTTACTTTAACGTAAATCGCAGAATCTCTGAACTGTCAAAAATTACCGTTTAAGTCAGTTAAAGAAGTGCTGTCTTTTTTAGTAATTTATTTGTTTACATTTTTTTTTGCTGAGTTTTTCAGTATTTTTATTTTAGTATTTTAATGAATATTTCAATAAATTCACCAACAAAGTTGATTTGCTGTTGGTTAATGCCTTTTTCGAGTTCATTACGATGGGTAAGATAAAAATTATTCTATTTGTTTACGATTTTTATTTCGGAAAGGAGGTTTATCTTTAGTGCTGACTGGTGGTGTTAGTGAATGTTTTTCATTGGCGAAGCTAGAAAATGTATCTAGAGGGGGCCTAAGAGGGGCCTGTGGCATTTTATTTTATTTTGCTAAACTACGGTTGAATAAATACTCGTGAAGATCCCTTTTAATCAAATTCCATCAAAGCAACTTGTTTTTTTTTTGGGTCAATTTTTTCGGTGACCAACTTCACGAATGAGTTACATGGGTTTCCTCCAGGGCTCATGTTTGAGCCCCCTTCTTTATAATTTATATGTAAAAGACATTGATGGTTAACTTGCTGAAAATTTCTCGCTAAGGCAGCTTGCAAACACTAGCGTGCACAGGAATCTTGTTAAGGAGGGGCAATTTTTTTTTCTATGGTGCATTTTATCTGGGGATGGGGAGTACTCCAAAGTACGTGGTGGATGGTGCTGTCCACCCACCACTGTTTCTCTACTGTTCAATTTAGCTAATTTTATTTATTTTTTGCTCCGGTGGTGGTTCATCTTCTTCAATGCAAACTGCTTTCAGACAGCCAATGGAAATTGGCAATTTAATCCCATCGACGATGTCGATGATGATCGGTTCGTCAAATGGTTGCGATAGCAAGGCTTAAACCAAAATGATACATTTGCTGCAATGTTGTTGCTTTGGTGGTTGGATTCTGCTGAAGTCACGTCAGATGGTTGTGATAACACCATATAGGTGACTCGAAGACCAGAAGGTCCCGAAGAAACATACTCAACTTTTTGGCTCAGCTCTGGTACTATCTTCGGTCCCAAGCTAATCGATGCACCCCTCGAAACATTGTTAAATCCACCAACCCCTCATTTTATCTGTCAAACTTCCATAGCAAATCAAATCAAACAGTGCGCATAGCAGTGAACAAACATTATATTGCATTTGATCAGTGGAGTTGAGTGCTTGGCACTGATGAAGTCTGCAATTGTAGACGAAATACACGTATCTGTCAAAAGATAAGAAATTATAACGGAATTAAAAGGAAATAAACAAACACACTCAAAGCCCTTCATAAAAGTATATTGCTGTTTTTGTCCTTGCACTTGGCTTGTACTCCAGCAGTGCTGCCAGCCATTGTGCTGGCACCGTCAAAAAATACTGCCATTACCTGCTCCCAAGAAATCTGCATCGCTGTCAGGACCTCAGCAATAGTATTGAAGATGGTCGTCGCGTCTGTTTTCAACACCCGTCTCACACCCACAAATGTTTCCGTCGGCCGATCATTATCCTAATGACAATCGTCAACTACTCGTGGTGGCCACAATCGCTTTTCTCATCTGCAATGATTGCCACTGGTTTTCCTCGCAAGGTTTTCGCGATGTTCCGCAACATTACATTGTGCACCGACGTAATTATGTCATTTTGAATACGGTTACTTGTGTACTGGCAATTTTTAGCACCTTCCGCCAAGTGTTTTTTTTTTCCAAAACAGGATCGTAGTAAGCCACCAACTGAATGGCACACTTTCTGCTCTTTCAGAATGTCCACGAAGTAGTCGGCCACCTTTTCAAAGTATGCACACAATATCGATGAAACTTTCCATTATATAGCGATTTTGTAGCCGCTTTGCCTCTCTAGCAGCAATCATAGCTGTTTTTTAGAGGTCCAGTTCTTCGTCGATACCTTTCCTGGTTTTGAAATTCTTCCACTCTTCCATACTACCAACATGGGTATAACTGCGATTGTGTTTTCCCAGCTCGCCGGCCGCTTTCTTCCAATTTCTGAACCCCGTAGGAATCGGACAACTTGGATCGTACGAAAAGACCGGCAGTTCCTATAATTTCTTGGAAGTTAAGTTTACAGTCCGAGTAATATTTTGATAGAAAAATGTTGTTATAATGTTTTGCGTCATGCTTTTTTTTTACAAGGTACTGATATCATCTTTTATTCAAATACCTTTCTAAAATTTTGTGCAGTACATTTTTGAATATTTTGAAGGCATCGTTACAGTTTATTTTTGACTATTTCAAGGTTTTGTAAGCCTTTATATGATGTTGTAGTTACACTTTACTATTACGGTTGCGAGTACGTGTTTTTTTCCTTTTGGTTTGTTTTTTCCGTCGATCTTGTTTTCCGTGCTGAGCACCAATGCTACCGACGTGCCAGGAAGGCAGCTCCCACACCTGGACCCTACCTATCGACCCATCAACTCATGAACCGGGGACCAACGGCTTTACTTCCCATCCGAAGGAAGGCGTGATCAGAGTGCGAGTACGTTGAACGTGGTCATTTTCAGCGAAAATTGTGGTTATAATTTTTTTCAAATGTTGACCTTAATTCCAAGGCAGGTTTGAAAAATATGCAACGATTTAAACAAAAACGCACAAAACTATACCGACAAGCGGGTGCAGGATTGTTAACGGAATGACGACTTGTGAGAAGGATTGAGCATGTCAACTCTATCCCAAAGTACCGCTAGTCAGGGTAACAGAAAATTATGCCCAACATTCAACATGTTTTAAAGATGATATAAAGGACAAACCCGAATTTATTGCAACGCACATAAACAGCTGTAACCACGGGAATCATTAGAATTTCTTGAGGTTCTATTCGAAATTTTTAGAACTCTATGAGCTCTATTGAAATGCTTCGCAGAAGTCCTCTGGAATTATTTTTAGAACTCTTCTTGACTTTTACTCAGAACATCTTGGTGCTGATATTCCCTTGGAGTTTTAGAAGAATTTCCTCAGTATTATCTAGAAATTGTTCACGAAATCAGCTAGAAATTATCGGAACTCCCTTGAAATTTTCCTCAAAATCCCTTTGGAATTTCACTCAAAATTTAATTTTCTCTGTATTCTTTTCTGAATAATTTTGAAACTATCTGCAGGATTCACTAGAAATTATTTGCCGAGTTTTCTTGGAACACTCCCCAGAAATTCTTTGGAACTGTCCTCAGAATTCAATATCCTTGAGATTCTTCTCGGATTTTTTTTAGAATTCTCATAAGAGCTCTTTTGAAATTCTTTTCAGAAGTCCACTGGAACTATATTTAGAACTCTTCATACTTTTTCTCAGAACACCTTGGAACTGAAATTCCTTCAGAGTTTCAGAAATTATCCTCGGAATTCGCTTGAAATTTTGCTTAAAATCCATTTGGAATTTCACTCCAAATTTTATTTTCTCGGTATTCTTTTCGAAATTATCTTGGAATTATCTGCAGGATGCACTAGAAATTTTCCGCAAAATTTTCTTTAAGTTCTCCCCAGATATATTTGAGGTTCTTCTCGAAAGTCAAGTTTAAGTTGTCCGTCCATTCACCAAAACGTTGTAGTTTTTTCTACCAGGAATTTTCAATAATGCTTCCCCTGAACAGTGAAATTTTTACATCAGGAACTTTCAATTCAGCTTGCCCCTCTATGCAGCAGATTGTTGCAAATCTTACACCAGAAATTTTTCAATACAAACTTGCCCAAAGAAAATTTCAACTGACCAGAACTATGCAAATTTTCCACCGTTAATGTTCAATAAAAATTGATTCTCCAATCTTCTGATTAGTGCAGTTTTCCTTTTTATGACCAGACATTTTCAATATAGCTTGCTTTTCCTATTATCAGAATGTTGCAGATTTTCCACCAAATAAAGCTTGCCCCTATTTTCTGATTTTTTATCATAAGTGTTCAGGAAAGCAGCATCCCTCCAATCACCAGAAATTATTATAAAATTTGTTTCTCTATTCAGCAGAAGGATGCAAATGTAAGACCAAAATTTTTCCGAAAAGCTTGCTCATCCATTCACCAAAACGGTGCAGATTTTCCACCAGAAATTTTCAATATAGCTTAGTTTTAAATAAAGCTTGTGCCTTCATATACCGATACAAATTTTGCACCAGAAATTTTCAATAAAGCATGCTCCTCTATTCACCAGAACGGCCCAAGTAACGATTTCGGTATTATGAGGGTTCTGTAGACCATGATTTAGCCTTGTAGAATGCTATAAAACCTCGATAAAACCTGCAATGTTACTTGGGCCGTGCACCAAAAATTGTCAGTGAAGTTTGTTGCACCATGAACCTTTGTGGTGCAATTTTTAGGTTTTGCCTCTTCATGCACCAGAATTGTGCAAATTTACCACCATAAATTTTCAATGAAGCTTGCATTCATGAAAACGATGCAAATTATGCACCTGAAAAATGAATAAACCTTGCTTCTACATTTACCACAGTGTTGCAAACTTTCCACCTGAAATTTTCAGTTAAATTTGCACGTTAGAATTTTTAGTGTGATTCAATTTTTCCACCAGAGTTATTCACTTTGATTAGTCCCTCCATGCACGACTTTGATGA